TGAATAAAATTTACATAACCCAAAAAACTTTGCTAAGGAATACAGGAGTAATTATTTACTTGAATCTATCACTTTTTTCTCTGCGTATACTAAACACTGAGAATAAAAAATTGAAATTTTGCGAAGTAAATGTTTCTTGCGACATTTTCCTCGATATTTATTGATTAGAAAAAAAGTTGACTGCAATGACGGAATATATATTTATTTATGAAATATATCTAAATTTCCTTATCGATTGATCTATTTACTAAGAATAAAATTTTATTTCGCCGCACTGAAATAAACGTTTGTTTCTGTGGAATAAACTTTATTTTTACTTTATATTTCACAAATAAATTTTTAAATTGATTTTTCTCAGTGTGGGTTTCAAAACAGTTGGAACCCTTTTATATTCCCCCCGCACTAAGGAACCCATTTAGTTGAATTAATTAAATTTTTGTTTGACTACGGACAAACACATTTTTTGGTTGTAATGACCAAAAAATATTGTAATAACCAAAAAAATGTGTTTGTCTATAGTCAAACAAGAATTTAGTTGATTCGACTAAATGAGTTTCTCAGTGCACGAATACATTTTTAAGTACTTTTTTTCTCATTGAAGAAGTGTTCAAACTGTCTTAAAACTCAATGTATACATGTTACGTCGCCGATAATCCGATCGATATGTTAGTATCTGCGCACCGATATACTCGTGTGTTTTGCATGCTTTTTATTATATCTCACATGCATTCATATACGCGTTTATAACTGACAGAGAGACGCGAGACAAATGCACGCACGTGGCCGGATACTATATTCACCACGGTTTAGAAAGTCCTCGAAACGATCGGCTCGTGAATGTTACGAACGTTTCACAACGAACAGTCGGATAAGGTGTGCCCGCATCGACGTGTAATCCTCGTCGTAGAGTGCATCGAGGAACCTCTGACCTATTATACGCATTGCGCCGGCTAATGGTCAGTCTTGAATTTGGTCGGCGCGCACCTTAAGCGAGAGGGATAACTGTCGTTATTAGCACTTCTGCGAAAGATGTAAAACTAACTGTAAACGCGGTGACCGTTACGAGATCTGTGCGACGCACACGCCGAAGCGTATGTACTTAAAATATCTCGGCTCTCGATTAACATTGCGATATTGAGCAATAGATCTTTGTACGCGTTTAAATCTCAGGTGAAGTCATAATTTTTGTCGCGTTACTTATTGCGGTATTTAAAATCTTTCTTACGCTGAAAATACACGAAAGTTTAAATTTATGTATTTACTATTTCTGCGAATTGCTTTATTTATTTCTTATTTATGGCTAAACTTAAATTTTTCACCGTGCTTGTGTATCTATTTCTCTTAATTGTATCGAATAAACACATAGAATGTAAAATATAGAATAAAAAGTAATCATTTTTAATTCACATGTATCAATATTTAATTAAAATTTATTTTCAATTTTATCGAAGCAATTTATACTTATATATTTCACGAGTTAATGTTATCGTTACTGTTATTCGTTAATTATGTTATTCGGGAGACTAACGCTGTGAAAGGCAATCATATTAATTATCGTATTTGTGCTACATCGAAGGATCTTTGTCGGAAAAACGTGCTAAACGTGACGAATCGATGTAATGACCTATTCGCAAAACAAGTCTCGCGTACAAAAAAAAACAGATAAATGTTAAAGTGTTGACTGGCGCAGATATTACTTAATATGCGATTAACTACTGCCAGGTGTCACTATAATAAAGAGCGTACGAAATCTGTAATGCCACCGTGCATTACAGATTTTCTAAATCCGGTATATTTCGTGCAATACTCATTCACTAAGGAATATTCAGCCTTTGCTGCTTGTGAATTGAAGTGCGTGAAAATAATTTCAACGATAACTTGAATTGCGAGGGCGAGAAGTGCGCTTCAACAGCCGGTAGCGTCGGTAATGTATTTCGGCGTGCTTGTACGGCATGTCAAATAAACCGGAAAACGTAATGTTATCTCCGTCGCTTAAACTGTGATGTCTTTAAAGGCGCGCGCAGAACAATTTTATGCCGTACTTGACGGTCGTAAAAGTCTTAACGATTCTCCCCGGCTTCCTTCGCGCCTTTTGTACACGCTATCGTTAAAGATTTCGTTACATGCTCTCGGTTACGTGCCACGTACGTACGAAATGAAAAACAAAAAGAGAAAAAAAAACAGCAATCATTCGCGCGACTACGGTTACGTCGAAAGAAAGAAAAATCGTTACTTGGTGTCGGCGAATGTGTCGGGCGCGCTGAAAGTCTTCGCGTCGCGGGTGATTATAAAGAGCGCGCGTTCGAAAAACAGGAAGACCAACATATATACACACACACACACACACACACATCCACGTACGTGTGATTACACGTACTGTGACTCTAAATTCTGACATTGTAAGAGATCGCCGAGAGAGTATTACGCGATCATTAGATGCTCTCGTAACTCTATTCCACCTCATTACGTTACCGCGCATCATAGCGCGCAACGTCGTATGAAGCCTCCCATACGGCTTCTGAAATATTTCATTATTCTTATCGCAGCTTTAATTAGTCACTACCGGGTCGCTCGGTATTACACAAACACGGCTACAATCGTGCGATACAAATAAAAGTAATTATTCATATAGGATGTGTTAGCGCAACTGGTCTCTCCGCTGATACTAATACGCGAAGAATATTATAAATCATTTTTGTGTGATTGCGAGATGTAAGATAACAAATGCGTAATCCGTATAAACGAAGACATATATATATCTTCATCATAGTGCTTGTGTCTCAAGTTCTTGTTCCAAGTTTACTAACTAAAGAGAACAATGGAAAATTTTTCATGTTTCATTATAAATATCGTTTTTACATAGAAATATACCTTTTTATATATTTATAACGTTCCTCAAATTAGAATATATTTGTTACTGATTATTCACGGTTAATGAGATTTGTAATATTATTTAAACGAAATTTTATATAGAAAAATAACATTTCATCTTACCTCTCTTTTTTGTCAATTATATAGTCACATATTTAATAGGTTATCTCTAGTTAAATACAGAATGTGATTTTGCGCTTCGGCAACCCGAGTTAAAATTCCGAATTCTCGGGAATTCCGTCGGAAAGAAATGTAGCTCGGCGAATACGAGGCGTAAAGCTGTGCGCTGTCACCGCGAACACCATAATATCGCGAGCAACGTGCTGCAAAGAAAAAAATCGATGCAGTTGCCAGTGTAACAGTCTTTGTTGAAATTCCTGCACAATGTGTCACGCTGGGGCATAATCGTATATCTCTTTAGAAAGGATCTCCGGAGTTTTCCTTTGTCGTGTCCGCATAAAATAACGACTAAATCACTGGCGAATTAAAGTTTCAAGTCTCGTTTCTCCCGCTCGGTGTGCAAAGTGAAATTTTCGTTGGATAATAGTTCCTCCTATTAATTTATCTTCCGTGCGGATTTTTTAACATAATTAAATTGGTAACATAATCGATACATAATCGACTCTAACTAACGGCATTAACGTCGAAGTATGCGCTACCAGGCACATTGACACACATTCCGCCGGACATCTTACAATATGATATATGAAACGTACTCTTCATGCGAATATTCTAATCAACCGTATCGAATATGCGATCAGACAATCATCTGTAAGTCATGTGAAAGCATTTATGAACATCTATGAATATGTATTATGAAGCGAATCACCGTAGGCCTATTTTTTATGTCATACGTATACCGTAACGGTCCTCCATAAAGGCAGAATTAAGCGATTAATTAAATCATTTACTTAATGTGGAAAAACCGAAATCAATCTTCCTTCCCTTTTCTCTCCACAGAAATTAATGTACGATATGTACTGTTAATAACGCTGTGGGGCGTTTTATTGTTTCCAGATGACGAGTATTCTTTTCACTTTGACGGAAACCCCAATTCATAATTTCAAACAAACGGTCTAAATATAATCCATTGCCCGCGATGCCGTTAGAAACAACGCGAGCCGAAACAAACACCGCCATCGTAAAGCTAAGAGAGGATTTATCTGTTTGTTATCAGGAATCTATCCCGAAACAATCGCGCAGGACAAGCGCAATAACTACATTACGTTTCCTCCGCGCGGTAGTATATCGAATGCGCTATATACCGGCGCAATCGTAGCTCCACAACACTGGAACGAAACGCGCGTCCAGTATCGCGACTGCTTTGTAGCGGGCGAGCATAACGATGCGATATTATTGCACGCGGCATGTACGAATCCCTCTTACTGCGGAGCGAGAAACCTTTCTAACTTTGCGTTAGAATAACGCGCGCGATGCGGTTGACACTTTGAAACGAGAAGTTGCCCGAAACGCATATCCTATACGTTGTCACGTGAGAAATAACACCGGGAAATAAGTCGGGTTACATGAATGGCGGTTGAAATTTTCGTCCCGCTGCGTTGCCCGTCACGCGAGAATGTCTCATTTGTTGTTTTTACCGTTTTACAAACGGAAAGAAACACACACATCTCTCTCTCTCTCTCTCTCGGCGGAGCGATGCGTAAGCGACTTCGCACGCGCGAGAGAGCGTTCTCTCTTATTTGTCTGAAACTTTCCGTCACGATCCAGACGTATGAAATAATATTATTGCCCTCTCCCCCATCCTCCTCCCTTCTCTCCGTCCGCCATCGTAGTGGTTCAATTTCAGCGCGAAACGTTTCCAAAGCGTAACCCGATTCTCCCATTCGCGTCGGCCGTAAGCGTCTAATAATGAACCGCGCGTTACCCACATGTATTCTCGTTTTCTATCGCGTTGTCCCGACTCCCACTTTGGCATCTTTACTTTCTAAAACGCGAGATAGAATTACCTCTCTCGTCTCCGACTAAAACACGATTCATTGGCAGGTACGCACAAGTACGCGTGTGAGCAATTGGCGGGCGCGCAAACAGAAGGATTCGCCGGGTTGGCTGAGAACTACCCCCCTTGCAAGCAAGCCCCCTTCAATCGCAGGTCCCGGGGGATTACTTACGTCTTAGCAGATCGTCCGTTCGACTCAGCGGCGATTTCGTTTTCCCCTTCGTCTCGGCGTCCTCGCTGGGCAGACAGGTGGTTGATTCTCGCGAAGGCTCTACCGACGCGGAAGAGGGTGCGAGCTCGTACTACGACACGGCTGCCCGTTCTCGCGCGATTTATCCCGACGAACGCTCGATTTCCCGACCGATCGAACCTCCCTTGGCGCTTTCTCTCTTTCCCTCGTCGAGCACTGCAGCCCCCCCCGGCGTCGATAACGCGCGTACGTGCGTGCGGGGTGTAGCGCGCGTAGTTAAGTGTCGGAGATCGCGAGTCGCGCGACCAGCCTGGTTCACCGTGTCGCTTCGCGATGTTGGAAAGCTGCTTCTGGAAAACACGTCCGAACAGTTCGGGGGTTCAGAGACAACTGAACCTGCCTACCTGCCGGCGGACTTTGGAATCGGTGAGCGGTTCGTACTTCGGTCGGTTCGTTCGCCGACTCGCGGCTCCACAGGTTCGTTCGCGGTCGTCGTTTTCTCTCTGTACACACGGCATACGGTAAGCCTTCGCCCCCTCCTTCTCCTCCTCCTCCTCCACCACCTCTCTCCCTCCCCCCTTTTTCACCTCCACCTCCTTCAACGACACCTCTCTCTCGCCTGCTGTCTCCGCGCGCGCGTCTCCTCTGTGTCACTGGCCGTGTGTCGCGCCGGGCGACGCACAGATACCCCCGCGGGGCACGCACGCACGCACGCACGTGCGTGTTCAATTTCGCACATGCACGCGACCGAACTCTCGGCGGCGCCTTCAGCGTGCACCCGACGACGGGATTCTCGCGTCCTTCCTCCCTATGTCTCTCTACCCACCTGCGACACTCCCCGCCCTCTGCTCTTCGTTCTGTCAGATTTTCATCATTGCTCCAAACGCCGTGCGTAATTTACAATCGGACGCGATGATGTCGATGATACACAATTTCGCGTAATAATATTATCTTGCATATAGTGCACAGTTTTCGCAAATTTATACACACGTGTTTGCTAATAATGAACTCTTAAACAGGTAATATCTACGTTTGTAAAAATAGCACCTGCACTTCTCGCAGTAACTTTCCGATGAGAAATAATTTGCGGGGAATACTGCACTTGCACGACCTTTTTATGTCCGGTCTCTTTGTCTCGGAATTGTTGAAATTTCATTTAAAAAATATCTTGGCGATTAAGTCTCTCTCTCTCTCTCTCTCTCTCTCTCTAATGAGATTTCTATGGAAATAAAATTTGTTTAGAATTAACCGAGAAACTGCGATTCATTCGCAGTCGTAAAACTTAAGTCGTAAAAATCATCTAATATCCATCGTTATATAACTTTAAGACCATTATTAGCTCCTCAACAATCAAGTAATCACTATTTGTCTTAGCTCCTGTGTTCTGTCTCAATGTTTGAAATAAAAAAAAAAATGCATAAAATTTCCAAAGTAAGCATACATTTAATGATAGAGAAGCAAGTATATATAGATCTTCATTTATACTGTTAATATGTCGTTTTGACATATTTTACTCGGGGAACGTAATCGCGATAAATGAAGTGCGTGAATAATTAACAAACCTCCGTATTCCAATCGCGAGGAGTCCGCAAAGATTCGGGTGTAACGCGTAAATTCTTGAATAAATCTTGCCGCGAGTATAGCAGCGCCTTTGGAAATATTATTACGCGAATCGTCAGGCGGAAAATAATAAGACGCCGGATACGGTTGGATACTCGCTTGATTACGTCCAACGGTCAAAACGCGAGGCTCTTTGCTGCGGCGCGCGCATTTTCCCCGACGGCGATGAAAAGAAGGCGAGATCCTATTAACACATTAAGGGCGGGAGTCGTAGTAACTACGATTTATCTCGACTGCTGCTTAAGGGCGGGAGTCGTAGTAACTACGATTTATCTCGACTGTTGCTTAAGGGCGGGAGTCGTAGTAACTACGATTTATCTCGACTGCTGCTTAAAGGCGGGAGTCGTAGTAAATACGATTTAGCTCGACTGCGGCTTAAAGGCGGGAGTCGTAGTAAATACGATTTAGCTCGACTGTACCTTAAAGTTTTTATGATCACACAAAATATCGCCCGCTCTAGGCCGAAAAACGAGGCGGGCGGCCGCCGCGCTACCTAGCATACTTTCGTCGAGATCGCCCGCCGTTAATGTGTTAATAATCACAATTAAACAACGCGAGTAACACTTTCACGAAAAGAAGAACGAAAGTTTCGCACCGGTACAATAACTGCGTTAATGGTGTTTCACGTGTCACTGGGTCACTGTGCTCACCAGCGACGGAGGAACGTTTTCCACGGCGTGTAGATTACTTTCGACAAACCGACGAAATGGTTCCACACGGCAGACATCGCGCTCTTTAATGTCAAGGATGAACATTTAAAATTGTCAAGCTCGCGTTATTAAAGTGCTTACGTTTTTTTTTTAACATTTCGTCGAATTACACGCACTATCGCGATATACTGGCGCAATAATAACGCAATAATAAAATGTAATAAAAAAAATGACAACGGTGTCCTGACAATTAAAACGCTCAGGAGTACGACCTTGCGATGTTGACGCGTTCGAAATAAATTTTTTAAACCGGACTCTACGTTTAAAAATGGATGACGCCATTTCATCACCGGTATTTCGCGTAATTTTCTCGCTATACGCTGAAAGTATACGGTGCTATTTAAAGATATCTCGATGAAGGATTTCGTAAATGTCATTGTGAAATATGCAGGCTAATATTACTCGGATAATTACAACGCCGGAGAAGTTACGAACATTTCGCACAAACGCAAGCGATATCGCCGCGTCGGATGTAAAGTAAGACGAGTTGCGAGAAAAGTCACGCGACGAAGAATGCAAGAATAGAGATAGATGGGCGCGTTATCATTTCAGGGCTGACGATAATGACGATGAATCGATCGTCAATCGTGCTCTAAACATAACAAGTCGAAATTTTAATCCTGCTTTGAGTCCAAGTTTGTTCTATATTGTGTTCAAAGGTCTTCTATTATGCTCCTTTAATACTACAAATGGGGAAGTTATTGCCGTTTTCTCCACTTGAAGACCTAATGTAGAATTAAAATTTAGACTCCAGAGGTCTCAAATCCCATCTGTAGCATCAAAGGAGCACGACAGCAGACCTTCGAACACTCAATATAAAATTAAATTCGACTTAAACTAGAAGCAAAATTTCGACTCGGGGCGCGTCAGAAATGAGAAGACCTACCGGTTTCTCGAGGACAGAAAGGGGCAGGTCGTGCACAGGCTCCTAGTTGCTGACTCGTCTTGCGGCAAACAGCAAAGTTCGGCGGTCCCTATCGCGCACACGACAACACCGCGACGTTTCTCAGTTAGCTGCACACCGAGGAGAGTTTTCCCGTTATCGGCGACGCCGTCGCGACACAAGCGTGCCTCTTAAATCGCACTCGCCGATCGGCCGCACCGTGTATCGCGGTCGCGCTAACACTCGGAAACTCCTGTCGGCCGCGACGGTACTTGAGGATTCGGTACCGCGTGACGTCACTAGCGACGTGACCTAAGGTATCATCGAAGCTGACGAGACGGTATCTTCCCCTCCTTACTTTCGGACGCGCAAAGAGGAAGATTACTCGAGGCGGGAGGAACGTGTGCATCTCTCGTTGCGAATTAATCATCATTCCCAGAAATCTCGAAATAAGTGACGTTTTGCTAATATAATACTTTGCCGAGAATAAAAAGAAATGCGTCTATCGTCATTATACGTTCATGTATGAAAAATGTAAATTCATACGCATTCTCACCCGAGAGAATGTATACTTATGGATAAAAAGTATAATCGGATGGGTGACACGGCGATACGTGTGAGATTTTCTCATAACACGCGTACACGTATATAAAAGAATGAGAAAAGAAATTGAAGAAGAAGGAAATATTGGTACTTAATTATAAAACCCACCCTGGCACCGCGATTGAGTCGGTCATGGCGAATGTACACGTGTTCGACAAATTCGCATAAACGCCCACGCGTGTATTGCACCGGATATTACAACCAGTCCTGCATTCGCTGATACGCTCTTTTACTTCTCTTATCACGTGGTCAGTTCGCCCGTTGCGTTTGCCTCTTGCGGTTGGACACCGTACACAATAAAAAATTTCGTGTAAATAACGTCCATTAAAGTTTCTGCATCACTTTAACATAGGAATATGTTAAAAGGGTACGCAAATATATGTCAGATTAATCTTAAAGTAATACAAAAATTTCAGTGGACTGTTATTTGCACAAAATGTTTTACCGTGTACAAGAATCGAAGGCGAAAAGTCGCTTTTTTCTTAAAAGTCGAATTATTTTTTAGTTACAAAGAAAGAATACAATAAAACGACAATGTTGACGAAAATAAATAAAGGTAACCAGGTCGTATTTCCTATTATATTTTCTTCTTATTCTTATTATTATTATTATTATATTTTCTTCTTATTCTTATTCTTATAAAATGAGACATATTAGAACGCATTAACTTTCTAATCGAGACTTCAAGGCTCATAGATTTTGACAGACTCATTATTTATTTATGAATTACACGATGCAGTTCGTTGAGTTGACACGCAATCTGATTCCACGTATTCGATCGTTGCACGGTCTCGTATCATTCATTAGTTTCTGGAAATTTCGTAACGTTTCCCTAAACATAGCGATCTGCTGTTAACCGGACACGCTCATTACCTCTCTTATTTAGCATGCGTAGTTGTTATTTAATTGCTATTTGTTATTTAATGATTCTCACAAGAAATGAGCTTTCTCTTTTCGGCGAAGTAAAAATTGTACCTATCAAAAATATCGATTTATCTCATCTTCCTAAACATATAAATTTATCATTGAATATTATCATATTATGTATAGAAATTCTATTATCATTGTGTATCAAATTTATTATTAAAATATTAAAATTACTATTCTACTGAAATACTAAAATTCTATTATTTTTTATTTTATTTTATTTCTACTATTTTTGGGACGAAATATATCGGGAAAAGTCTCTGAAAACTGGAATGTTCGCGAAACACTTCGGTCGGTCGAAATGCCATTGGTTTTTTCCACGGGTCTTAACAATAATCGATATTGATGTGCTGAATCGCAAGGTGAAAGAGCCACTTATTTGAGATGCTGACTACGTACGCGTACACCACTTCTCCTTGATTGTCGTCTTTCTTTGTCCTTTTCTAGTAGTCGCTATCGCGGCGCCTATCGAGAATCGCTACTGCTCTTTAAACACGTTTTGTAACTTTAATCGACCTAAAGCGTCCGCGCTACTGCTCGATATCGCACAGATGTTATCTTTCCGTGTACGCACTTACAATGCTATATATTCTTATGGCAAAGCAGTTGAGAGAGATCATGAATAA